ACCATTGTCCCTACGGGTCCATTAACTCAGTTGCTCCAAATCCCTAAATGCCAAAAGCAGCTCCTCTGGACCTCTCTCTACCCCTGCTCCCTTTCCCAACCCCTGCCTTTGGTGGCAGAGAAAACAGCTAAAAGAAGACACACTTTAAATAAACAGATAGAATGAATGATTGACATGACCGAGATGAACACAGTCATGCATCCTAGATCTATATCTGCATATGCATCTACCCACCTTCTCTCTCCCCCATTTATTGCACATGTGCTGAGCTAGGTGCTTTGTGGTTTTCTCTCTCTTCATAACATCCCCAAAGAAAGTATTCCTATCTTCATTTTACAGAGGAGGGAGCTGAACAGTTAAGTCACCTGTCCAAGGCCATGCAGCTAGTCAGAGGGGGTACCTGGATTAGAACACAAGTCTGTCTGAACCCAAAAACTGTACTCTCCTGCTTTCAAAATCATGTTTGAAATTTCACACCATAGCGGGGCAGCTAATAGATGTAATTCCTACTGCGGTTATAGAAAGCTGAAATAGGAGGGGAGTTTTCAGAAAATACTCAAGCTTAATTTTGGACAATCATTTCACACATTCTGCCCAAGTGGCATTTTTCCTAAGCTGCCCCCAAATACAACCAATCAAGTTTTATCGGTTTTTTTTTTCCCGTTTCTCTTATGAATGGAGAGGAGACTATTAGAGCCAGTAAATGGCTCTAAAGTGGGGTAACTAGAGAGGAAAGTGCCTTGGATGTCTGAATGTCCCTGTGAGCTAGCCAACACCCATTTATTAGTAAGGCATAAAAGTGGACCAGGCCAGTTCCTGTCTTAGGAGTCTTCACTGTACCTGAGGAGTCAAGTGATAAAAAGGCAAAGTAGAAAGTAGGGCTAAAAGAAAACAAGGTAATTGTGCTAACTGCAACCCACAGATAACCAATAGCCTCAATGGAAAGAAAACATCACTGGGAGATGTAGTTGGGGAGGCTTCCTGGAGGAGGTGGAACTTAAGCGGAAGCTTTGAAGAATGAGTATACAGAGGTGATGAGGATGTCCTACACACAGGCTTATAAACGTAGAACTAGAAGGAATATCTCACATGATGACAAACTCTCATTTTGCAGACAACAAGATGGAAAACTAGAGTGATTAGGGGTAAGAGAAGAGACCAGGAAGTGGGGGACATTGAGCTGGCCACTTGAGCCACAGGGAAGGGTAGACTTCTGCTGCTGTAGGGATTTGGTGGGAGATACAGTTGGAAAGTTGGGGCTGAATAACACAGGGGTAACATGTTGGACTGAGAAATTCAAACTTTATCCTGTGGACAGTGAGGGTCCATGTGGTAATTCTCAGCTGAGAAATGCTTTGATGGAAGCTGTGTTTTAGGAAGCTCCCACAACTGGTGGACAGGAGGGAAGTGGAGGCGAGAGGACCCGTTAGGAGGTTGCTGTAATGACCCCCATGTGATTGGATCATTGCACTGGAGCGGTAGCTGTGGGCCAGATGTGGGTGACGCTTTAAAGGGAGGACTCACAGAATTTGATGACAGATTGGCTATGGGGGTGAGGGGAATATTAGGGAGAAAAAAAAGCTAACAGGCTAATACCCCTCCTCCTCAGCATATTGAGTTTGAATTGAAAATATTTTAAATAGGAAACATATTTCAGGACAAACTTTTCTCATAAAATATCTTCCTTCAAATATCTTTTTCCGCCCATGGATCTAACATAAAGGAAAGGTAAATTCACCATATGACCATAGACTTAATTTCATACATGAGCGTCCTTTTCTTCAAAGTCAATAATGATGATTAAAAATAAAATTCTATTTAGAGTCAGCTCCTTAAACATTTTAATCCCCTTAAATTTACTCCATGCTCTCCCCACAAAAAATATTGCAGAGGGAAAAAAGAACCAGATGTCCTGACCTGACCCATTGGTTGGCCCCATCCACCTGGCAAACGGTTGGTGAAATCTCAGTACTCAGTATTAGAAATCCTGCTTTCTGGATTCCTAAAGGATAAACCATTTAAATCTAAAACACAAAAGAACCAAGCCCCTATCCTTTCCCATATGGGTATATAATTAAGACAGTAAATGCAAAGTGTCGCACGTGCCACTCGTCTCTGCTATTACAATGGAAATGACCACAGCAATCTGCTTGAAGTCACATAAATTTCCTTAGGAGCAAAGAGTAGAGCCCTTTTAGTTCTTTGATGAAGGTTCCTGCTTATCATCTACCACGAGTTCAATGATTATCTGCATTCATGTATTTTAGTTTTCCACGCCACTGTCAAAGTGGGTTTTGTAAGTTAATGGATCAAGCTTTCAGATCGCTTTTCGCCTCTGAGATTTGTCACCTTACTGCGTGCCTAGATCACAAGATGCAGCCACAGGGCAAGTCGAGATCTCCCTCAGCCCCACCCCCCAGTGATTTTTTCACCTCTCTGGGAGGGATACCCAGGGCGCTCAAACACTTTCACAGCTGTTAGAATACTGATGGGAACTTCATGTGTGTTACCAGCACAAGTGCTGTCAGGAAGAAACCAAATGTCAAACTGAGGTATGTAGAAGTCACCATAAATATGCCTCTGAATGTTTCCCATCTGGAACAGTGGCTTTAGATTTTGACAAGAAACTGGGATTGCCCTGCGGGCAGTGTCTTGAAACAGACCCTTTGGGTTCGTTAAGTAACTTCACTGTCACCTAAGCCTTGTTAGGGGCAGTAACACACAACGTTGCCTTCTCAAGGTGTGAATTTATAATTTCTCAACACTTCCTTTCTTGTTTTCATCCTGCCTAAATCCTGCGGATGGTTGACTTTTCAGGGGTGGGGGTGGGGTGGAGGGGATTCTCCCATATTGCCAAAATCCTGGGCGGGCAGCCCGGTGGTCAGTCTGTAACATTAGCAACATGTGCTTGGGATTGGGGCTCCCATGGCTAAACAGGGACTTGCCTTTGTTAGATGCCATCACGCCAGATCTCCTGGAGGAAGAGCCCATTGGTGAGGAGGGACTTGACTTTCTCCTGAAATATCTCTGCTATGGTGAAAAATGGCATTGGTAGCCAGCACTGTACCTGCTTCCAGCCTGTGCTTATAAGCCTAATCCTGACACGATGCCAGATATTAGTTTGCCTTTCTGTCTTTATTTTTTTTAAAACCCCAGTTCCATTGTAAAGCTAAAATGGAATGACTGGAATTCCAAAAGACTGCAGCTTATGAACTTAGTCCTGTTTGGGTTATGTAATATTGGGAATCGGATCTTACTCAGTTGTAATAACCGCCTGGTTATTTATGAGGATATTTTCTCATTGAAGAAGACTTCTGAGACTATTTCAGAGAACACTCTGAATAACAGCTAGATACTATACTAACAAATTCTTGGAATATTAATTTTTTAAAAAGAGGATTAATAAACAATAATGGAAAAGAAAAAAAATAAATACATTTTTAAAAAGAGGATTAAAAAAATCAACTCTCTTGTGGCCAAAAATATATGTAATGCAACTTGGAACATAATTTTTCACGCATCTTTTTGCAGCTGAATACAAAAATCACAGGGCATTAGCCATAAATTCTTGTTATTCAACCTACAAAACAGCTCCTCTTTCAGAACAGCTTATATACAGTATTATTCACGGACTCTCTCACCTGCCAAGGGTGAGGACAGTGTTGGGTTTCTCTATGCAGTGTGGAAGTCCAGTAGGAACAGGAATTTTTAAGCACCACAGGTATCTGAACGCTGACGTGGGAGCGCAAGTCTGTCAGGGTGCAGAAGTAACTCATGGACTCACCTTGCTGGATCACAAACTTGAAAAATGAAAATTTTATGTCTTTGATCCCTGTAAAAATAGGGCATCAACTTGAAAGGCCTTTGTCATACCACAAATTAAGCATCAGATATAAACCCCATTGCTACGTTCAGTTCAATCTAATTTTCATGGTGCTTTTGTCAGAGTGGTTAAATTAATGGCTACTCACAGATACGATGACAACTCATTTTGTGTTACTGGATGACCATTCATTTCCAGTGACTAATTTGTAATTAAAACCTTTTTTTTTTTAAACGTTTGTTTAGAACCAAGCCAGAAAATCTATTTACATTTAATTAACACTTCAGAGAGCCTGTTTAAAAACACATAAATGTAGGGACTTTAACGATCCATTACAGAGATGCTCCTTTACTTTTCAGTGACTTGTAAAACTTTCACAAACAGATCTGCAAATGAATTACCTCCATCTGCTCCCCTGCAGCTGCAAAAGGGCCGTGTTAAAAAGCACTTTCCTACTTCTTCCTTTTCTGCTTTTCTTCTAGCTCTAAGCATTTTTGTTTTAAAGACGCTCTCTCAGCTGCTCCGAAGGCAGCCCCTTCTCTTAAGGAGTTTGCAACGTTAGAGTCCATCTCCAAATTGTTTTCGAAACACTTTGGTCCATCACAAATCAGACAGGACCTACATTGCAAAAATCGGGAAAGAAAGCTTTTCCATCTCTGCCAGCAACTCAGTAATAGACTCTTCAAAGAATCTTGATCAATTGGGTAGTAAAATGCAACAGTTTGAAAGAGACTTTTAATTTTGAAAGCTAAGATACATGCATTCTTGGACTTACCCATCCTTTATGAACAATTTAGAGCTCTTGTTTTGAGTATGCAACGAGGATATGAAAGGGTGGGGACCAACACCGCTTCCAAAGACATTTTCTGAGCTACACCTTCCAGAGCAAGGCTTGAGGAGTGTTAGTTCTATAAAGACAGCCAAGCACCAAGCTATGTTCACTGTTATCTGTCAGCCGTACAATAGTAGCGTTGATAGGAGAGCAGCAACTGGGTTTGACAAGTGTGCTGTGCCAGCATTCCATTCAAAAGTATGTTGAGAGAGAGAGAGAGAGAGAGAGAGAGAGAGAGAGAGAGAGAGGGAGGGAGAGGGAGAGGGAGAGAGAGGGAGAGAGAGGGAGAGAGAGGGAGAGAGAAGGAGGGAGGGAGACAGGCGCATTCAATATCTTTCACTTTACCTGAAAAAGCTGCTTCTCTTGTGGCTGCAGAAAACGAATTCCTCCTCTTCTTCCCCAAGCAAGTAGTTCTCTTGCCTGCAGCTCCCGCTTGGAGAAGACCACACAGCTCCAGCGAGGCAGCCTTCCTGAACCTAATCCCCACTCCAATGTGATGACACACACTAACCCCAACCATCTGGTGAAACACGTCCTCGAGCACTCAGCACAGTGGTGTGTCAAGACGGGCTGCCCAATCCATTTGCTGGGGCTGGGTATCTCTCACTGACTGGAGGCTGAGGGCAGGGCTGAAACTGGAGGTCTGAGAACTCCCAGTCAAGTAACCTGAGATTTTCTGAGAGAAAGAACTGCTATAAAAAGGGAGGACGTGGGAGGTGCTAAAGAGAAGGTGGAGGGAATTAATTATGCCGGTGGCCAGTTGTGCGGTACTTTTCACAACTCCTTGTACGCCCCCGGGGGACCGTGGGGACCCTCAGTAGGATGCACAGAAACACTAAAAATCTTTTCCTGCCAATCTAGGGAGGGCAATCTACTCAGCGAGCACCCATCCCCCCCCCGCCCCGCCCGGGAGATAAAAAATTCATCTTGACATACTGATAAAGTGTTCGTGTGGGAGTTGTTTGCACTGAAATGTGACATCTACATTTTGAAATCTACACTCCTACCTTCCTGTGATGAGATTGCGGCTGTCTCCAGCATTCCTGGGAGGAAGCGGGTGGGGAGTGCAGTTAAGAGCAGAAACTTCTCTCTTCTCACAGACAGCTCTTCACGGTTTGTCAGGGGCTGAACTTAAGAAACAGTCAATGAAAATCATTTTCGTTTCTACTCGTGTAAAATAGCACGCGCTCCCATAGATAAAGGCGGCTTTTTGAATCACTCGCTGCCTTCACAGACATCTCTTTGTAAAAAGCACTGGGTACCAGAGGGCTGCACTCTGTCATTGATTATTTTTATTGGCTTCTAGTTAATTGCACTTATAATGTCCATATAGCTCAAACAGCTCATTAACAATTTTGCTTTGAAATGTTTTCAGTTTGGGGCCATTTCAATACCTCCTTCTTCTGTGCATTTCTTTCTTTCTTTCTTTCTTTTTTTTTTTTTTTTGAGTTGTCTGAACTGTTTTATAGAAGTAATTACTTTGATAGCAATTTGAATGAGAAAATGGCTATACTTGTTACGGTACTTTTAAAGAGCTATCTGGAAATAAATTAATTGCCTCAAATCTTACCACTTAAAAAAGCTCCATCAGACTTCTAAGGAATTTTGATAACCTGAAATAGAAAACAGGAATTTGAAATATTAACAACTCCCTGACCATCTGTGGGAAGCCAACATTTTAAATATTGCACTTTCTGAATTTCTTTGGACTTGGAGGGGGATCACGGGGGGAAAAAAAAACCCTTTAAACTTGCCTAAAGCATGAAAATCTAGACTACAAATAGATATCTAATACTCAGAATGCCCATATCACAGAGAGAATTATTTCAATATCTAGCAAAATTGACTAACTTTTTTTTCAGGAATTTTTGTGTGATATTATATTAAGATACTTAAAAATGACTTCTGGTACAATTTTCCGAAGCACAGGATTAGAGAACCATTATTTTCAGACAATTAATTTTTCCTATACCTGGGCTGTAGGGAAGAAGGAAAAAAAACAGTATTGGAAGTTGGAGTCCTGAATCATTTGCTCAGTTTCTTCCCAGAAGTGATTATGAGGTGTCTGTTTCACAATATGTAGTAGATTCACTAAACCATTACTCCGAATCAGCTAAACCCAGATACATAATCAACACTGGAACATTCAACAATGGCAAGTGGTCCCATGGGGCTAAAACTTCCCTTGGGCACCATAAAATTTTTAATAGTGCCAATTATTGCAAAGCAATTTTTTCATTAAAAATTTTTTTTTTTCTTTTGGCTAATCCAACCAGACCCACGTCTGGAAATCTGGATTACCTCAACTGCATAGATTTTGAAGACCCTGGAGACGTTATTAAGGTAGTTTGCCCTCTCTTAAACTGTAAATTGAGTAACAAAAGTAAAACCTAAGAAACTGTAAAGGTGTTGAATCACGTTTTATCAACCCTGTGCTGGTAACACACCTTCTGTGAGACATTTCCCCAGTGATCCTGGCTCTGATCCACACGATTGTGGAAAGAGCTTTTTAACAGAAACATTTCTCTTCTCAATTGTAAATCTTTTCCTAAAATCTCAGTCACTACTTCTCTTTTATTGATAACTTCAGTTATTATGCTACCTAAAACTTGCTCTAAAATTAAAAATACAAGTGGAGCAACAGATCTTGCCTGTTCGCTATGATCTTAATTCTTGTCCTGTGCAGTGCCTGTAAACATTACCTTTCACAAGTATTCTAAAATGAGTCCACAATGACACATTTTGGGGTTGATGTTCTGCCATGCTTTTGTTAAGGAAAATCAACTCAAACAAAGACCTGAAGCTGGTGCTGCAGGATAAGATCCGGGCTCCCCTTCTCTCTGTAACCAGCTCCAGTGCTCAGCAGTGTCAGTTTAGAAGTTAAGAATTTTCCATTACCTCTCTTCCCTTCCCCTTGCCATCTGCAAACAGTTTATTTTTTAAGAAAAAAAAAAAAAGTGAAATTGATTCTATCTTGAAAGATCGAAACCTAAAATATGACACGTTCTAAAAGATGATATTCAGCTTTTGAATGTCATGTTGATCAGGGTGAGGTTGTGTGCAGAGGGTATGGCTTCATCACAGGAATTAAGTAGGGACACTCCTAAAATGAAAGATTAATTGTAGGTAACGGTGATATTGAAAAATAGCCCTTCCTATTCTGTTCCCACAGTTAAAATGTCCCTTTACTTATTAGCGCCAATTAGTTTCCATGGTAACCGGCCAGCCCTTGTAAACCCCTGCTCTGAGCTTCGCTCATCTTTGTCTAGACTGAGCTCACCACCCTTCTTCCTCCACAGATGGCAGTTTAGCTGGGTCTATATCTATACCCATATCTTTTGCACACATGTAACAGGCACGTAAGTGCCCACATCCACATTATTCCTAGTACAATGGTGGCCAAGGGAGAATGGAAGCGGCATTTAATCCCTGAGCTACAACGCGTGCATCTGCTGCCACACTAATTTTTCCCCCTCTTGGTTATTGTTTCTTCCAGCCTTGTTCTATTATCAGCTGTTTGCTGCTTGTAATTTCTTTTCAGGGAAGCCAATACAGTATAATAAAAACCTCATTAAACAGAAACACCTATCAGCCTCAGAGAAAGCCCTGAACGACTCCTTTTTGTCTAAAGAATCATTAACGTGAAAAAGAAAAACCACTTGTTTGTCATGCTTGGGAAAAAGAGAACAAAGCCAGCAGAAAGGTTTACCAAGCCAGGGAGCTAATATAAAGATTTAATGCACTTAAGACACCATGGTTCTTTGCCCCTTGTGCTGCCAGTTGGCCAAGAATCCCAACTTGGGCTCAGTAAACAAATAATCAGGGAGGGTGAGTGAGCCTGCCGCTCCAGACTCCTGGCGGGGAGGGAGGGAACAAGGATCTGCAGCATCCTGGCTGTCACAGGTGGCCCTGTGCCCCAGGGCCACGGGCAGGTGATGCTGCTGGGGTGCCTGAATGTTAGTGTGACTACAGAAGAATCCCATGGAAAGTGGGGGAGGACCGTCAGCAAAAGCTTGAAACTGTGAGAACTTAGCAAGACAAGGGCTCTAATAATTTGTGCTGACTTTACTTCTTTGGACACAACTCTATTTTATTGTTATTTTTTTGGCCACGCTGCGCGGCATGTGGGATGTTAGTTCCCTGGCCAGGGATCGAACCCCTGCCCCACGCAGTGGAAGCACAGGGTCTTAACCACTGGTCCGCCAGGGAAGTCCCACAACTCAATTTTAAATTAGTGTTATTTTGAGGTAAACCATTCCCTATAAGAATTGAGATGATACCAACAGCTTGGAAGCCAATGCTTTCATTAGGGTTGTGTTTAATCTTGATAAGAGTAAGTCAAAATGGTAGTCTTAGATTTCTCCTCTTCGTATAACCTCGGCTACCACTGCTTTTCCAATACCTGTTTTGACATAACTAAGATCCAGGTTCCCCCAATTCTGCTGCTGAAATGTTTTACTCTTAAAACAAGTTTCTGAGGTTGGCTCTGAGGTCATCTTAATCTACGTATTAGAAAAGAAAAAAGTTCTGATCACCAATGTTTTATCTGATAGGATATGGGAATCTGGGGCGCTCCTTATCCAGGTGAATTTTTTTCTTTCATGGTAACATCCCTTTAGGTTTTTTCTTTTAAAACAAATGGCAAATGTCTTCTAAAGTACCATGACACTAGAAATACATGTAATAATTAGCCCATTGCTATTCATATCATGTAAAGTGTCTGTATATGCCCAATATACCTTATAATTTGGAACATCCTGCACTTCTAAATTACTCAGGGCTACACAGACATTCACTTACACTCCTTCAGCTAAACTTTACTGTCTTTATTCGCGTTGAACCAAATCATTCTCAGAAAGAGAGGGGAAATTATTGCCAGTTAAATGTTAAGTCACATGGTATGCAGCAAGCATTAGGCTTGTCCGTGTTGTCAATGACTGCAGAGCTATAGGGGAGGTGACACTGGAGCCAGTGATGACTTTCACGTCAGATGGATGGTTTTATCACTGAAGTTAAGTTTCCTCCAGGAAGCACAAGCCTAAGTTTGCTGAAAAGGGGTAGGTAGCTGTGCACTGTAAATAATTTTGGGAGGATAAAGGGGAGGGTGCTGAACCACTTAGGACAAAACAGTGACCCACAAATGGGGTAATTTAATAAAAGACACTGGATTCAATAGAATATGGCAAATAGGCTAATAAAAAATTTAAAAACCTATTTGAAATCCATATTTGTGGAAATCAGTGTTTGAGGCGTTGGACAGTAGTCCTCGTTTGAGCAGATAGCTAAATTTATGAGACATTGTATTAGAAAGTATAGATATCAGGTAAGAGAAAAATAAGAATTTTGGCTGTAAGAACTTGAGGTTTTATTGGATTCGCTTGGAGGTAGGATTGGGCTATTTGAGATGGGGTGTGCATCCGAGACCTAAAGAGTCACATGTTTGTCTTTCATTTGTATTATGTGTATTTCCCAGTTAAGGTAAATAGTGTGAATGAAGGGAGAAAACTGGATGCAGGGATGGGCATCACTCTTGTCCAGAGAATAGACCAGAAGTTTGCCTTTGGAAGAGATAGTAGATAGAATTGAATCCCTGTATTTTAGAGATGAGAAAAGTGAGGCCAACCAGCAAAGTCATTGGTGGGACGAGGAATAAACCCCGAGGGTTCAATCTATTAGCTCACCTCTT